GCCGTCAGTCAGTCAGTCAGTTGCGACGTAGAACTTCGTACGTATGTACATAAGCTCGTGTTGCCATACCACATTAGCACAGAGACGCAAATGTCAAATCAAATCCCATAGTGATAGAGATAGTAGAGGTATTAATGGTAATGAAGAAGACTAGGGTTCGAGGATATTATTCAACAAGTATAATTCAGTGAGATAAGCTTAGAAAGACAAAGGTAGATGTGCTGACGAATGCAGAAGTTTAGGATTTGATAGAGCACAACGAATGGATGCACTTGCGCATTGAAAGCAATTTTGAGCCATGTCGTTCAAGGTCTCTAACCATTGGTGACTTTCGTCTCGCGGACCCCAACCAGGTAGTCTGCATCTACCAACATGACTCAGTCCACTTGTCAGTGACTTCATGGATTTCTGCCATGTTTTGGTCTGGCCGCCCCTAGCTTTCTTCCAACCTACTCCTACACCACAAAACATACCTCATCGAGGCAGTCTTTGGTTAGGCCTTCGTAGCACGTGTCCCAACCACCTCAACTGATGAAGTTTCAACACTTCATCTATTGATCTGCCATCGTTACCTAGAACTCGTTTCCTAACGACAGCATTGCTTACTCGGTTGTCCCACGATATACGAGCAATGCTTTTTAAACATCTATGATCGAATACTAGTAACCTACGAACATCTTCTACTCTCACTGGCCATGTTTCGCAGCCATATAGTAAGACGGAACGAAATACTGCGCAGCACACTCGTCATTTAATCAGCGAACAGATATCTCGACTACGCCATAAGTGACGCAGGTTGTCAAAAGCCAATCGAGCTTTCTGTATCTGTGCTGATATTTCGTCAGTCACCAGGCTATCAGCGCTGATGAGACTCCCCAGATAAGTGAAGCGATTAACACGCTCGACTACTTCCCTCCCTATCACTAGTTCAGGTGCCGATGCAACCCAATCTTGAAGCAACATTTTGCATTTCGTGGGTGAGAACCGCATCCCGAACATGCTTGCATTGTTGCTTGTGGTAGTCAGAAGACTCTGCATGGAGAAAGTGGACATCCCTGACGGACACCACTTGATGTAGAGAATTCAGATGACAGTTCGCCATATGCTCTCACCCGACCAGTGGTGTTCGAGTAGAGTGCTTGTATAAGGTTAATGTACTTCTTTGGTACACCTTTCATGTACAGACACTGCCACAGAACCTCACGATCAACAGAGTCAAATGCCGCTTTTAGGTCCAGGAACACGACTATTGTCGGACGTCTAAATGTGTGTCTGTGTTCCAGGACCTGTCGTAGTGTGAAACGGCCTTCGAGTCCTTGCAGGTTGCTTCTACTGGTAGCAGTCTAAAAATGTATCATTCATGATTTCAATGTGTGTAGATATTCTATTATTAGCTTATAGACAACTACTACTTCTTCATTCTATCTATATTTCTATTGTATGCACCATTTTATGCTCATATGTTGATATTTGTACTCCTTTTTTTTTCTATTTTTTTTACTCATATCCAGCTCATTTAGGTAATCAATTAGATAGTTACATAAGCGCATTGAATAAACCTGTACGCGTTGAACGTCTATCCAATCGTAGTGGTTTAATACGTGCCCGCTTATATGGTGCAAACATTTCCACTGGTCAAACATTGACATTTTTAGATGCACATTGTGAAGTAACTGTTGGTTGGCTAGAAACTTTATTAAGTCATATTGCAGAGAATACAAAACGTATAGTTTGCCCAATTATTGATGTAATCAGTCATGATACATTTGAATATCTTCTTGGTAAGTTATGTTTTTTTTGTTTTTCTTTATTTGTTGTTGTAAATTTACATTACAACTACCAACCTGACTCAATCCGCCTGTCAGTGAGTTCATGGTTTTGTGCCAATTTTTGGTCTTGCCGACCCTAGCTTTCTTCCAATCTTTTCCTACACCACAAAACATAACATGACGAGGTAGTCAGTGGTCGGGCACACGTAACACATGTCAAAATCACCTCAACTGACGAAGATTATTCCTTCTTCAATTGATCTACCACCCTTGCCTAGTACCGAGTAGCATTTCTTATCCGATGATCCCAGGATATCCGAGTGATGCATCGAAGACAACCATCATCTAAAACTACTAATGTACGAATATCCTCTACTTCTTACTGGCTAAGTTTCGCATCCATATAGTAGGACGGAGAAAACTGTTGTACAGTAAACGGATCCTTTTGTTGTTAGCCGGATATCTCGCCGCAGTATATATTGTGTGAAATGATATTTCGAATCATTGCCTTCTTGTAGCTGTCTTTTTTTCAATTAACTAAACATTGTACACTTTATATTTATGCCTTAATTTTAAATATAAATATTATTTTTGTTGATAACATCATCTTCATCCTCATCTATTCAGGTTCCGATCGTACATGGGGTACATTTGATTGGCATTTTACTTTTCACTGGGAAACTATTGTCGATAGAGAAATAGATCGTATTCATGATAATCATAATGTTCCAATACGAACACCTACTATGGCTGGTGGTTTATTCACTATAACTCGAGAATATTTTTATCAGGTAATGAAAATATCTCTTCTGTGTGTTATTACGTGTTTTTTTTTTTGAAATTACAATGAGTTTAACATTTGTACAACCAGATCAAACAAGAAAAAACACACGAAACTATATTGAAATATTGAGCCAATCAGAAGTAGCAAAATGTGAAGGTCAATTGATGACCATCAAAAATTATCCTATCGGACTGATACATACCATTCATTGGTCAATAAATGGCTACATTTCCTGAGGAGTTAATATATATATATATATATATATGGACTTTCTCTTCTATTTTTACATTCACACTGAAGTTCTCAGTTTGAGATGTTACTACTTGTCACGTTTAAATCTCCGAACTCGTACTGAATAAAAAATATGACGTATGCATTGTTCAATTCTACTAGATTTTCAGTGCTAGTCTAAAATTGTTTATATATAGTTCATGATTCCAATAAAATTTTATAATATTCATAATTGTAATACACTAACAGTCAATGAATAAATTTCATGTAGAGTGCATGAGATGACAGTGTTGAACAATTAAACTTTTATAAATGAATTATTCTTTGGAATTAATTTTTATTGGTTAGACAAAAGCATGGCACAAATCCATGAAGTTACGGAGAAGTGGACTGAGTCATGTTAGTGTATACTACCTGGTTGGTGTTCCGTGACACGATAGTAACCTATGATTAGAGATTTTGTGTGATATCGTTCAAAATAGTTTTAAATGGCGCAAGGGGCATCCATTTTTCATGTTTTCTTAAATTCTAATCTGAATTCCTCTCTTTTTTGAATTGCTTCTCCTTGGATATACTTCTCGAATGATATCTTCGAACCGTAATCTTCTTCATTACCACTAATACTTCTACTACCTTTACTACTATGTGATTTGTGAATTGACAATTCGATCTCTGTGTACTAATGTGGTATGACAACTTGAACTGATGTACGTACTTAGGAAGTTTTATCTTGTAACTGACTGATTGAAAAAGCCTAATATAAAGTCTTCTGCGAATTTCAGTACCGAAGAGTTGGATAATTTGTTGATAATTTTAAATGAATTCATTAAGCCTACATTCTGTCGGGTGTTTAGCATTAGAAAGCAACAAAGCACACTGATTTCTTTGTATTCTACAAAGTTAGTTGTACTGGCTTTGTCCATGATTGCTGGATTTGTAGGTGGGATGAGATACTTTCCGGTTTCCCAAACCGAACCAGGTGGTTTTCTTAGGAAGTATAACGTCCAAACCTTTGACCTGATAAGTCCAATTTATAAGACACTAGAACATCGTAAGAAGATGCAATCCATGGTATATGATGACAAATAGTAGGTTCATACGTCAAATCCCTTAACAGTAAAGTTAGTAGCACTATTATCGATAAACGAAAAGATAAGTTAGGAATCGTAGATATGAATCGAGTAGTATATCTTAGTGGAATCAATTTTAAACAGTGAAAAATGGTCATTAGAATTTCAGAGAACACAAAGAATGAATACACCTGCACCATTGCAAACGACTTTCAGCCATATCATTCAAAGTATCTAACCATCAGTAACTATTGTCTCGCCTACCCCAACCAGGTAGCCTACATCTACCAATATAATTCAGTCCACTTGTCAGTGACTTCATGGACTAGTGCCGTGTTTTTTTGGTTTTGCCGCCCTTAGCCTACCCACCTACATCACAAAACAGAATGCGTCAAGGAACTCGGTGGTTAGTCATTCTTAACACCATATCCTAATCACATCAATTAATGAAGATGATACCGAAAATAATGTTTACTTACTTACTTACTTTACTTTCGCCTGTTACCCCGAATGGAGCATAGGCCGCCCACCAGTTTTCTCCAACCAACTCTGTCCTGGGCTTCCCTCTCCAGTTCTGTCCAATGTTTGTTCAATTCATCAAAATGTTGAATAGTTTCTTTGTTTATCAACCATTTAATATATTTCAAAACAACATCTATTATATCATCGATTCTTCTCATATCCTATAGCTTGGTGCCTATGATGAAGGTATGGAAATATGGGGTGGTGAAAATATTGAATTATCATTTCGTGTTTGGCAATGTGGCGGTGAGCTGTTAATTGATCCATGTAGTCGTGTTGGACATGTATTTCGTAAATCTTCACCCTATACATGGCCTGGTGGTGTTAGTCATATATTATATAAAAATTTTGTACGTACCGCTTTAGTTTGGTTAGATCAGTATAGTCGATTTTATTTTATGCTAAATCCATGTAAGTAGTGAATTGAATTAATAAATTGTACGTATTTTACGTTGATTTTATGTTAGTTAAACATGTTGTTAATGTGAGTAGTTGTTTGGTTTTCTACTGTTTACACAAAAAAATATCTTATGTGTACTTAATTAATCACCGCCTACTTTTACGCCCAATTCTCAAAAACATAATGATAATAATCATGAATAAATCATTGTTAGACTAATATTAGAAGAAACCTGAATGCACATGGACGTTTCATGTTTCATCCTTAGTACGGGATTTGTCTGTGACATTGAGTATCGATCCATGATTTCAAGGTAAAATGACCATCTTCATAATACTTGGATGCAAAAATCTTTAAAAAAAAATGTGCTCACTAATGACTAAGTAGCTACATGAAGAAATGCTCGGAGTTCTAATGAGAAGATGTGACCAGTGGAGTTCACCACCTATTGGGTGGTAGGCAGTAACTCTACCGAACACGAATGGGTGAAGTTGTGCAAAATGCCTAGATTGATCAGAGTTAGACATACACATCATTGGATGCTGTCTCGATGGTCCATAGGTTAAACGTTCGTGCAGCAGACCGAAGGTCTGATGAGTCCCTCCATAACACAAGAAAACAACCGTCTTTCAATGCTTCCAGGTTCCTCCTATTAGTGGCAGTTTAGCAATAATTCATTCACAATTTCAATGTAAACACAACGATCTCCGTAATTCTGTAATGAAAAAAACCTATTATTTCTAGTCATACTGATAGATTTTTGTACAACAATAATAATGATTGACATCAGTGGCAAAACTGAACAATAAGTATTAATTTTGAAAAGAATCCACTGACACATTGTGTTATTTTGAACTATTGACCTAATTTCTAATCCAGTGTCAATCTTATCCTTTTCACAAACCATTATTATTAGTATCAAATAATTAAAAAATCATTTAATTGACTGTCATTAAAATCATGATTACTCATCAGTCAGTTATTCTGATGGGATGCAAGTCAAACAGAATTAAATGAAGTTGCGCAACTCTGCGAATTGATTGAAGTTAGACATTAACAATGTTAGATATCGGCTCATTGGTCCAGAGATTAGGCGTTCACGTGCAAGACCGAAGGTCATGGGTTCGAATCCTGCGAGGTGCAGGAGTTGTGGATGCGCACTGCTGATGAGTCCCATACTGGGACGAAACGGTAGTCTTTCAGTGCTTCCAGGTTTACAGTGGTTCGTCTAACATTGATCGATTCATGATTTCGAATGTGTAATTTAACAATCTTCATAACCCCTTAATAGAATTAAATAAGTTTAGCTGATGTAATCATGATCAGATAATAATAATAATAATGATAATCAACACTCAAAAATCAAACACGAATCACATTAATGAATCCGTCTGTCTGTTTAGCTCATATTAAAATGTCGATTCAATGTCACTGTGATTACAAACTTAGAAAGCATGATAGTTTTCTTTCATCTATTTATCCATTGACTTTGAATTCGATCGCGCTTATGATTAACACAGATGCATAGTGGTTTAGTCAGTCAGTCAGATGCAACGTAGAACTTCGTACGTAAGTACATCAGTTCATGTTGCCATACCACATTAGCACACATATGTAATTGTCAATTCAAATCCAATAGTATTAGAGGTAGTAAGCGAATTAGAAGTGATCCAAGAGGTTAGGATTACAAGATATTATTCAAGAAGTATGATTTAATGGGAAAAGTTTAGAAAGTCAAAACTAAAGTTGTTGAAGAATCCAGAAGATTCGCAATGAGTTAGCAGCGAAATCTATCTATCTATCTATAGCACACACACACACAAATATGTTTCGGACTTGTACGTTTGGCTGGATGGTATCAACCATACATCTCAAAGTTGATGTACACTTTCACGAATTGAACTTCAATACTGTGTTCTTTTCAAGTAGTATTGTGGTGCGTGCTACTCATAAGTAGTATATAACGCGAGTGTAAACGTAATGTCTGGCAGCAGAAGATGGGGGAAGAAGATCAAGAAAGGAAGAGTGGGAACACAATGGAATTTGTATGAAACGCATGAATAGTGAAATGTCAGACAATGGATTGATGATGGATTGAAGATTTGCAAATTAACCGTTTACGATATGGTTTTCCTATTTTACTGAGTAACTCTGTAATTTTCGTTAAATACAATTCGGTTGCCCTCACCTGTGTTCTCCTTCACTACAGTATGACATTATGCAGACAGCTGCTTATTTGGGCAATTCCATTCAAACAATAATCAAATACTTATCGCTACTCTCTCCATTTAATCAATCTAATTCAATGTTCAATTGTGTTTTTGTTTTTACTAAATCAATCTATTGGTAATTAATACACTAATTGCTTATATCCATAAATAAGGTTTAAATCTGTTCAGAAACACCTTCACAGTTGAAATAATAATAATAATAATAATAATAATAATAATAATAATGAACAAGAAAAGAATATTCTCTTCATATTTGAAACTTGATTCTATTGTTTACGATTGTTTATTTAGTAATCTAATACAATTGTGTGACTGACTGACTGATTGATTGATTAATTGATTGCAAGAAGTAAACATGCATGTAAATAAATATTTGTTTGTTGACGTTGCACACACACACACACACACACGCCCACATGTGTAGTTTTAGTAAAATAAAATAAGCAATCTACTGTAACAAGTGATGAGTAGCAAATCGTTTCTTATTCTCCTCATATAGGTAGGTTTATTTGTGGTGTTCTTATATACACCACTATGGGATTTGAATTGGCAATTCAATTCCTCTGTAGGCTAATGTTGTTGTATGACAACTTGGATGGATGTACGTACACATATGAAGTTCTACATTGTAGTTGACTGACTGACTGAACGATGTTCTGGCATTTGTTACAGAATGAGCTAATTAGATAGTATGTGTTCAAACCCCATCCAATCTTTTCTTTTAAGTAAATGTTCATCGTTGATTGGCATTAGTCAGAATAAGATTTGTAGTCTTTGTTGAATTCCATTGAACTGGTCAATTTTAGACTATCTTTGGAAACCTCGAAGTACTAAACGATAGTTTTGTCATCATCGCACAGGACTCGTCATTAGCGCTCATTCACAATTTCGCAAGCATGAATCTAACTCAGGACCTACAGTCTCTCGCGTGTGAACACTTGACATGTTGATCGCTTAGTCAGTATGCAAAAGTTTTAATGTCTAATTTCAATCAACTCTCGATATTGCCCAAACCATCATCCATTGTCTTGATTGGGTAACTAACTACCTCACACCTGACTCGGTGGTGAGTAAATGTTCTTTACTGATTGACACATGTTTGGATACCATTCTTTTAAAACTCCTTGATCACTGTGCACTTACAACCACATCAATGATTGAATCCGAGATTCCTAGTCTTCATTGCTATTCTCTTTATGTTTAGACCAGTGAGTCGGCATAACAATGGTTCACATTTCTAAATTCAGTGTTTTCTGACTGTATTATTTAAAAGATTGTTTCAATATTCAATCACCTATAGTATTGAATTGTTTAATATCTTGGTTGATATTAAGATAACACATGATATGATTCAAAAGGCATCATCATCATCATCATTAAAAGTACTCGATAGTGTGATGGGTGCTACTCACAAGACAGCCTATAAGTGTAGTATAGAGCAGAGTGTTGCCTAAGATTTACCGCCAGAGAGAAAAGAGTATCAGCGAAATTGATGTGCACAGTATGACTGGAGTATTTTGAAGACCAGTAGAGGGGAGCGCTAGAAGACAGTGACAATAACCTGTTTAGAATGTTGAACATACAAATAAATGATTAAAGACTACTTGTATACATACACTATTGTTTCGTGAACAACCCATCCGGTCTTGACTTGTTTGTACGTTAAAATAAATAGGAAGGTAGTATTAAAATGGTTTATCATAGTTTCTCTGATCAAACCATGAACAGGTGGTTTATTAAAAACTTTTTCCAAATACAAGAAACAATAGTTATTTGGCTCTAATTCACTTGTATTTAACTGACAAGATCGAATTCAATGAGGGGAATTATTGAAAGTATGCAATCGATTACTCCGGTTTCTTTTTAGCTGTATTTGCAACGATCATCTTAACTGTTCTGTGATTCATATATCTGTCAGTTGTAACTCCTTTGTACAGCTTATAATCAATGATAACTTTATTTATGCTGACAATTATGATGTACTCTCTCTAGTGTATGGCTTCGTGGCCGAATCCTCAGAGTTCTAGTGAACAGTTGTGACAAGTGTGTGAGGCAGTTAGCCACTAAAGACAATAGATCAAGTCGCTAAATATCATGAATTGATTGAAATTATATATTAACATTGTTAGATGCATACTCAATGGTCTAGAGTTTAAGCATTTGCGCGCGAAATCGACTGACCTTGGTCTGATCCTTGACTGTGGTTTCATGCAAATGCACACTACTAATCAGTGTCCGCGTACCAGGAGAAATTGGTCGTCCAATGCATACAGGTTTCAAATAATTGTCTAACATTGATCGGGATTCATGAGTTCAGTGACAACCATGCAGTGTGATTGTTAGAGTTCCTACTTTCTTTTGTAGGTCGGTTTAAATCAAGCTCCATTTATCTATGGGTTTAGATAATCCGAAATTATACCTAACCTTTACATATATATGAAACAGAAGGTAAATGCTCAGTTCACTTGTGTTGGGGATGTTAGATCCCTTGATCTCGCTTCATAAATATCTTTATTTTGGATTTATTTCATGGACCGATCAGTTAACCCTGAGATCACATTTCCCACCAGAAAAATCTCTGACTGTGATTGGTTACTGTGTCATTTTAGTGTGTTATTTTTGTAATTGTCCCAAGGATGTCTCTATGGTGTATAAATAAACGCGATTTGAGTGCTTGGATTCATTGTATGCTGTCTGGGTGTTTGTAGAATACACTTTCTACACTATATCAAGACTTCTTGCTGGTACAATTAGGACAATCGGATCACAGTTGCCTACCTCGACGCTGGTTCATTGTTTTGTTCTCGTTTTTCGACTAAGGTGAACCCGTAAATAGTTTTAAGCATAGCTAGAGACGAGCATAACAACTTGTAAATGACTTCATGGATTTATGCCATGTTTTGGTTTGTCCGCCCTTAGCTTTCTTACAGCTCCTACTCCTACACCACCAAATAATATCTACCACATTCGGCATTTCTCTAGTTTATCTTAAATCAATGACCTTGAATGTGTTTGTGTTTGTTTATTATTCTCTCTTCTGTTTTTATTTCTTTTTCCAAATCAAGCTGCCCTATCAGTGGATTATGGTGATATTTCTGAGCGTAAAAAACTGCGTCAACAATTAAAGTGTAAAAGTTTTCAATGGTATTTACAAAATATTTATCCGGAATCTTCAGTTCCAATCGATGTGATAAGATTAGGTGAAGTAAGTGTTTGTTTTTTTTTTAGAATTTTTGGGTTGTTGAGATTGTTGAGTTTTATTTAAATCATGAACTGTGATCAATGTTAAAGTACTTACTGTTGACAGCCTCAAAGTACTGGATGACCATTTCGTCTCAGTATGGTACTCATTATCCCGGTTGAAATTTTCTGATTGCGTATTGTCTCCTACACAATTCTTGGATAAACTCAAGGAGATTCAAATCGACAACGACGGAACGATGTGATATCCTTCGACGTAACAGCCTTATTCACCTCAATGGAGCCAAGCTTAGCTAAAGAAACTCTTTCCGTGCGCCTCACCAACAACACAAATCTGCAAAAAAATATACGAAACTTCAGAGTCAAAATCTGCCAGAACTCATCGATCACCACCACAAGCATTGTTGACAAGTCCTGGTACTAGGAAGAAACAGCCATACAGTACATATAGATATCCGATGGTGGTCTAATGTTGGTCGGTTCATGGTTTTAGTTAGCTGGATAATGAAAACCTCAACATTTCGAAAGAATCAAGAGATACATTGGAAAACTTGCATGCAAGTACCTCTGAAAGTGGTGAAAATGTTCACATATCTTGACAGTGTCAATGATAACAGAAGAGGAATCTGATGTAGACACGGTTAAGCAATGCAGAGGCAACATTTCTACAATTGAAGAACATTTGGAACTTTAAAACTGTCCAACAACAATACAAATGTCAAGATAGGTTTATTTTATGGAGCAGAAACGTGGGGATCTACAGTGACCACCATCCAAATGATACAAGTGTTTATGAACAGTTGTTTACGCAAGATAATCCGGATTCGTTGGGCAGAGAAGAAACCTGATTTAAAATGAGTAGGAAATCAGGAAGAAGTGCTGGATGTGGATGGGACACATATTGAGTAAAGCACCCAACTATGTCACAAGACAAGTACTCACTTGGAATCCTCAACGATATAGGAAAGGAGGAAGATGAAAAAAGCCGATAGTTGGTAGACAGACATGAAGAGAATAAGCAGCAATTGAGTGGAACTGAAAAGGAAGGCCCAAAACAGAGTAGATTGGAAAATGCTACTGGGTGGTGGTGGCCTTTGCTCTAGTATTCATAAAGGGGCCTAACCAAACAAGTAAAAAGGAATGATTAGAAATGAAAGTAACACTAGATTAATTTTTACAAAATTTGCACAATAAACAAATGCAAGCGTTACATTGTGTTATATCTCTACACTGGCCAACACATAGAGACGACCTTTGAGTAACCAACACGTAACAAGGATGAAGACGATTTTTAGCTCAATACTAACCTGCTCGAACTCAGAGGGAGAACACGAGACTAATGTCTATCAGTTCAAAATTCGTTACTATAATTCAGACATTCATATATAAATATATATATATATATACACATACGCGCTTGCGCAACCAGATCACATTGTATTAGTAAATGGAAATTAACTACTAATACATGAGTGAGCCAACGATGGCTGTGCGTATGGAAGAGACAGATAAATAATAATTCATGATTTCGGAAATTGACTCAACAATCTCCACAACCCCATAATGCAATTAATTACCTGTGGTCACTAGTGACTAGCTCCATGAAGAATCTTCTCCAAGTTCTAGTGAGAAGTCGTGACCACTGGAGTTCACAACCCTGTTCAGGTATGAGGGTATGAGGTTGCTCAAGACCATAAATTGATAAAGGTTAGACATCTAACACTGTTAGATACTTGCTCGGTGGTCCTGAGGTTAGGTGTTCTCTCTCACGACCTAAGGTCCTGTGAGGTGCAGTGAGTTTTGGATGCACACTGTTGATAAGTCCTATACCAAGACGAAACGACCGTCTTTCAGTGCTTCCAGGTTTCTTCTAAAGGTGACCTTACATTGGTCGATTCATGATTTCAAGAAAATAATAGACTGACAACAAAAAATATGAATAGTAGTGACATGTTTACGTGTATGCGTAACAATTGGCGACGGGGATGGGATCACATTGATCCTACGAGACTTGGAATATTACCCGAGAAGCATGTGAACTAATGAAGATGTTGATGGATACCAAGCTGCATTGTGACACAACTATGGTGGATCAAATCAATCTGACGTTGTATATTGCATCTGTCAACTAACCAGAGTAGCTGTGCCGCATGCAACGCCTAGTCCACCTCACTTCATCTCAATCCGACAGCCGATCTAAAATTACTCGGTTCGATTGGTTCAAACAGCTAACATGAGTAGATGTCCCATCAAGCATGTAAGAAGAAGCCAACTCGCTCAGAAGTACTCAAGATTGGTTCTCATCTCCATTCCAGAAATATCCTCCTCGACAGCAGCAAACAAAAGCCCAGATCCAAATAAACCGTGGTGTGTCGTTTCAGTTTCTTCAGAGGGAGGTGTTAAGATATTCATCTAATATCCTAAGAGAATTATTGGTCAATTACTATTGGTTAATTCCTACTGGTCAATTTTATGATTGTACTAGATATCAATGTCACGTACTCCAGTGTCGTTTCTTATTGGTCGTCTTAACTGTCAATGTCACAGACTTCGATGCTGTTTCCTATTCAACCTAACTTTATAAATACGCATAGTCTGAGACGTTCTATGACCCGGACCGGACCCAGTTCCTGAGTCCGGGATCGTCGCCTTCTTCTGAACTCGGACCTCATACTTTCTGAATGTTTGTAGAATACAGGTTCTACTTCATACCAAGTCTTCTTGTTTTTACTCAATATTTGGGTTGGGACACTCGGATCAGAGTAGCATGTCGTGTCGCCGAATCCTCGATCCTCGGTCATGTTCACTGACTAGAATGACCTCATAACAATTCAAGCATATCAGATGACATGTTTACGTGCATGCGTAACAAGTAAAAGGAATATATATATATATATATACATATATATATATATATATATATATATATATATATATACAAAAATGATAATCTAGTTACCTTAGTAATGACACAATAAGACAATATACAATACTAATTATAATAATAATAATAATACTTTATAAATTATTTTTCTGCGTCACTTATGGCGAAGGCGAGATATCCGTTTGCTGACTAAATGACGAGTGTACTCTGCAGTGGTTCGCTCCGTCTTACTTTATCGCTGTGAAACATGGCCAGTGAGAGTAGAAGATATTCGTAGGTTACTGGTTTTCGATCATAGGTGTCTTCGAAGCATCGCTCGTATATCCTGGGACACCCGAGTGAGTAACGCTGTTATCAGGAAGCAGGTGCTAGGTAAGAATGGCAGATCAATAGATGAAGTAGTGAAACTTCAACAGTTGAGGTGGTTGGGACATGTCTTGCGTATGCCCAACCACCGACTGCCTCGTCAAGCTTTGTTTTGTAGTGTAGGAATAGGTTCTAAGAAAACTAAGGGCGGCCAAATCAAAACATGGCAGAAATCCATGAAGTCATTGACGAGTGGACTGAGCCATTTCGGTAATTGTCTACTACCTGGTTGGAGTCCGCGAGACGGTAATAATCGATGGTTAGAAACCCTGAATGACATAGCTCAAAACCGTCTGCAATGAAGCAAGTGCATTCATTCATTGTGTTCTCTCAAATCGTAACCTCCTGAATTTTTCATCACCTTTCTCTTTTTATTCTTAAGTTTATTTCACCAGATTCTAATTCTTGAATAATATCGTCAAACTCTAATCTCTCCGATCACTACTAATACTTTTACTACCTTTACTACCATGGGATTCGAATTGACAATTGCATCTCTGTGCTAATGTACTATGGCAACTTGAACTGATCTACATACACGCACGAAGTTCTACGTTGCTGTTGATAGATTGATTGAAATAACACAACTCCATTACGAGAAGGTAGGGAATAGGACTTTCCTGATAGTGGCTATACAAATTTGTCCATATAAGCACATTCGTAAAGCAAAAGCCAGCCTTTCCTACTCACGGCCCGAACGAATGAAGGCTATAAACACTTGTGTCTTTGAACAGACAATCTTCTCCATAACCGTGTAATACTTCTCCTATGGAATTTGAATTGACAATTGCATCTCTGTGTGTTCTAATGTAGTATGACAACTTGAACTGATGTACGTACGTACGTACGTACGTACGACGTTCCACGTTGTGTAACTGACTGACTGACTGATTGACTTAGTGCATTTCCTTTTGCCACTGACCTAAAATTGAACATTATTGAGTATATAGTAATTTTTTTTACACATACATATAAGTGCTAATATCGTTTTTTAACTTGTTTTCGCCCATGTCAATAAATAAATAAATTGTTTTCTTTTTATTAGGTTATTTTACATTTTATTTTCTATTGATTCATCCTCATAACTGGAAAAAAATAAAATCAAAATCAAATAACAACATTCAACGTAAATAAATAAATGAACATGATCGATTTCCTAGTGAAACACATTACGATTTCATGTTGTGTGTGTTTGCATTCGTTTTTTTTTTGTTGTTGTTTAAATCAAGTTTAATTGAATTTGAATTGTTAAAATATAATCTCTATTATGGAAAGCTACTATCTATCATATGGTGGCTTGGTGGACTGACGAAATGTCAGCACGGATACAGAGAAGGCTCGATTGGCTTTTGCCAAGCTGCGTCATTTATGGCGTAGTCGAGGTATCCGTTTGATGACTAAAGGATGAGTGAGTGTACTGTGCAGTAGTTCGCTCCGTTCTGCTATATGGATGCGAAACATGGCCGGTAAGAGTAGAAGATATTTGTAGGTTACTAGTTTTCGATCGTAGGTGTTTCCGAATCATTGCTCGTATATGGTGGGACAACCGAGTAAGCAATGCTGTTGTTAGGAAACGAGTATTAGGTAAGGATGGCAAATCAATAGATGAAGTATTGAAGCTTCACTTGAGGTGGTTGGGACACGTGCTACGAAGGCCTAACCAACGACTGCCTCGACGAGCAATGTTTTGTGATGTAGAAGTAGGTTGGAAGAAAGCTAGGGGCGGCCAGACCAAAACATGGCAGAAATCCATGAAGTCACTAACCAGTGGACTGAGTGATGTTGGTAGATGTAGGCTACCTGGTTGGGGTCCGCGAGACGAAAGTCACCAATGGTTAGAGACCTTGAACGACATGGCTCAAAATCGTTTGCAATGGCGCAAGTGCACCCATTGTTTGAGCTCTCTCAAATCCTAATCTTCTGGATTGGTCAGCACATCTACCTTTGTCTTTCTAACCTTATTTCACTTAATTATACTTCTTGAATATTATATTCAAATCCTAATCTTCTCCATTAGCAGTAATTCTTCTACTATCTCTACCATTATGGGATTTGAATTGACAATTGCGTCTCTGTGCTGATGTAGTATGTAGTACCTACGTACGAAGTTCTACGTTGTAACTAACTATCATGCGGTTTTCAGGTCTTTTTCTCGATAACTGATCAGTCATTAAAACAAATCAATTCGAACATGAGTCAAAAACACAATTTGATGAGTCCTACACCATGACGAAACGGCCGTTTTTTAGTGATGCTCGGTTTTCAAAGGTGGTCTAACAATGATTGATTCATGATTTCGACAATAAATAATCACTTTATTCAAGGTTATATGTTTAATGCAATATGGAGTTCGCAACACTGAATATTTTAATAAGTTTCTTTTTAAATACATTATTTCCAACCAATGCAATGTCTGAAAGTGTACTTTTTTATATATTGTGAAGCGATAAAGTTGTAAACTTTTTCATATGCGCGCCTAAATAGATTATTTGATTAATAGACGTAATTGACATATTAAAACAAACGAGACATGGTAACTAACCTGTTGCAATTTTCTTAACCCAGATAGATAATCAAACTATGAAATGATGACATCAAGATAGATGATTATGCAATGTTCATAAATGAAATAACAAACCGTTAATGCTCATTGTTCAATCTTCAATTTTTTTTTCTTTTTTGAAAAACTAGATTCGTCATAGATTAACTGGACATTGTATTGATTCTCTAGGTCATAAAGTGGATGAAACTGTCGGTGCTTCACATTGTCATGGACAAGGTGGTAATCAAATATTTGCAATCACTGAACTCGGTACAATACGTGTTCATGTAGGTTGTATAGATGGTGGAAGTAATCGAAATCTTGAAACTGGAGTATTAGTTTTTAAAAAATGTAAAAAGAATAGTATTGGTCAAAAATTTGAATTTATCAATAATGTAAGTTAAGTTGTTGGCATGCATTGTTCGTTTATGTCATAATCATATCAAGCTCATATGATTTTGAGGTGGTGGAGAAAATTTGTAGCTCAGGTGGATGTTTGTGGTGGAGATTCGTTCTCTGAGCTGGATGCTTTGGTTGTAAAGCTTTCATTGTTCTTCTTCTGAACAACATCGTCATCACTAGCACAAGCTTTAGATAGAAGTGGTTGGGACATGTGTTACGAATGCGTAACCACCGACTGCCTCGACGAGCTTTGTTTTGTAGTGTAAGAATAGGTTGGAAGAAAGTTAGGGGCGGCCAGACCAAAACAAGGCATAAATTCATGAAGTTATTGACGAGTGGATTGAGCCATGTCGGTAGTTGTCGACTACCTACCTGGTTGGGGTCCGCAAGACGATAATAATAGATAGTTAGAGACCCTGAATGACATGGCTCAAAACCGTTTGCACTGGCGCCGGTGCATTTATTCTTTGTGTCCTCTCAAATCCTAATCTTCTGGATTCTTCAACCCCTCTAGTTTTGACGTTCTAAACTTTTCTCATTGAATCATACTTCTTGAATAATATCTTCCAATCCTAACCTCTCCGATTACTTCTAATATCTTTACTACCTCTTCTACTATTGGATTTGAATCGACAATTACATCTCTGTGCTGATGTGGTATGGCGACATGAACTGATGTACTTACGTACGAAGTTCTACGTTACCTCTGACTAACCATTAGAAGAAACCTGGAAGCATTGAAAGACGGCTGTTTCTTCCTTGCATGGGTCGAATAAGTAGATGCTATATCCGTAGAATGAATAGAGAAATGGTAATTCTTATGATTACATTGTGGATTATTATAAGTTGTTGGGGATGTTAGATCCCCGAAATTCGCTTGATAAATGCCTTATTTTGGTTTTTACGTTTACCAGCATGGGCTGATCAGTTGACCTTGAGATTTCAATTCCCACCAGGAAAATCCATGGCTGTGATTTGCTGCTGTGTATTTTAGTGTGCTATTTTATTAACTGTCTCATGGACGTTTCTGTGATGTATAAATAAACGAGAGTTGTATGCTTGATTGTACTGTGATTGCTGGGTGTTTGTAGAATATACTTTCTACGCTTACAAAGCCTTTTTACTTCAGCCTGGGGATTCAAGATAGCCTACGTGGACGCTGGTAAAAGTCTCGTTCGCGTTTATGGACTAAGGTAAACTCGTAATAGCCTCAAACACACTTAGTGACGAGCGTAACATAAGTATTATGATATTTATGCTCATTGTATAATTACTAAATAATATTCTTTTTGTCATAAGCTCTTGATCGACTCATGAACTAATTTTGATAATTTTTTACTAGTTTATCATTCACAGCTACTTTTGGCCTCACTCAGGTATTTTCTCATTCATTCCGTAGTGTGATGTAGTTTGGTATGTTTTGATATAAACTGTCTGTGCTTGAAGTATAACAAATCTGCTGGAAGATAGCCTTAGACCAAGAAGTTGGGAAGAAGCTGTTTAGTTGTTTTGGCTAGTTAGGGCTAACTCAAGGGTACCTGTGCTAAGATGTAATTCTGATTGTTTTGTTTTTTTATCACGTCATATTAGTCAACGGTTAGAGCAATACAACAGTAGGACTTTCTTGATAGTGGCTATATACGCGTGGCCATGTAAGAGCATTTCTAGTGGGCTAGCGGCCTCTCTTCACTCTAGGTCGTGTCAGGGCATTTAGAGGCCTAGTAAATTATTCATCCAATAAAGATGTCTAACTAGATCGATTGATCTTAACTTTTCGAATAGAACATTTACTGTTCACTTTTCAATAACCTAAATGCGCCATATTATGATATGAAGAAATATCTGGAAAACGCGGAATCATGTGACATATCGTTACCATATTTAGTATGGTCGTCGAAGCCTGAAGGAGCTCAAGGTCATGAGTGAATAAATAAATAAATACCCTTATTTTTCTGTAAATTCACTAACTTTGGAATGAAGCGTTCATCTTGAATTTCGCACGTTCTGTCTTGTGTTCAAGTTGCAGTCTAGATTTAGTCTGGTGTTTTTAGAAGCAATCAGAAGTAATCAGATTCTGTGTTCAATTAGCAGACTTACTAAATTCACTTTAAATAAACAGTTGGTAGAAATGGTTTTCTCGAATGCGAACTTTGAAACAATAAAAATTCTTTTACAAATAGACTATAGATTGACGTTGTATATATATATATATATATATATATATATATATATATATAGAGAGAGAGAGAGAGAGAGAGAGAGAGAGCCTTGTCTGATACCAGTCTTAACTTAGAACAAGTCTGTGATCTGTCCTACGTGCATCATTTTCCGGTATACTATCTTAAAAGAATTCTGTATAATATTGTTGGCGATGTTAGATAAACGCAGAACTCGCTTGATAAATGCCCTATTTTGGTTTTCACGTTTGTAAGCATAGGTTGATCAATTGACCTTGAGATTTCAATTCCCACCAGGAAAATCCATGGCTGTGATTGGCTGCTATGTATTTTAGTGTGCTATTTTATTAACTGTCCTAAGGACGTTTCTATGCTGTATAAATAAACGAGAGTTGTATGCTTGATTGTACTGTGATTGCTGGGTGTTTGTAGAATATACTTTCTACGCTTACAAAGCCTTTTTACTTCAGCCTGGGGATTCAAGATAGCCTACGTGGACGCTGGTAAAAGTCTCGTTCGCGTTTATCGACTAAGCGATGAACGTAACAAATATTGACTATCTTCTCAGGTACAACTTAATTCTCTCCATTACCGCTAATACTTCTAGTATCTCTACCACTTATGGGATTTGAACTGACAATTGTATCCCTGTGCTAATACAGAATGACAATATGAATTCTGTACGTACATACGAAGTTCTACGTTGTAACTGACTGAATTGTGGTGTGAGCTACTTATAAGTAGTATATGACGTGAGTGTCAACGTAATGTCTGGCAGCAGAAGATGGAGGAAGATCAAGAAAGGAAGAGTTAGAAAAACAACGGAATTTGTATGAAACGCATGAATAGTAGTGACAATCGATTGATGTTTTTCAACAGAAACAGTCCAGTTCGATATGATGAACTGATATTTTGCAAATGAACGATTTACGATATGGTTTTCCTATTTTACTGAGTAACTCTGTAATTTTCGTTAAATACATTTCGGTTGCCCCACCTGTGTTCTCATTCACTACAGAATGACTGACTGACTATCTTCTCAGGTACACCGTAGTATTTAAAAAAAAAGCATGGTCTCCATAATTTACTTCTATTCAAGTAAAATAGGCGGGTTTTTAGGCATCGCATTAGCAAACCATCAGAAGAAGCGATCACATTAAAATATATATATATATATATATATATATATATATATATATCATAAATTTTTATTTAATTCGTTTTTTGCCTCATTTATTGTTTGAACATTGAACATTTTTGTGTAGTCATTCATTGTCTTAAAGTACTTTATTTATTGAAACTTTTTATCGTTCATTGTTGTTGATTTGTTTAAATATGTACTATTTCCCCTTTTTTTGTGTGTGTTACAAAAATGGTTGTCGTGTAAATTAAAACACAAACAAACAGAAAAATTGAACATTTAATTTTTAATGATCATAAAAAAAATAACTATTTTCTTTGTATTTTGTTTTGTTTTGTTTTGTGTACAGCAAATAATTCATAAAGCAACAAAATTGTGCCTTGTTATTGTTTCCACTGGTAAAAGTGTACGACTTACATTAAGTAAGTGTCATTATTTGTTTGTTTGTTTGTTTGTTACAATATTCAATTCTATGTAAAAATTAAAATTTAAAATTTAAATAAATTTTGTTTGTTTTAATGGTAGTGTTGGTGATATAAAAAATATACATATTTACTACTGGTTTCTTTTTTTTTAAAAAAATTTCTATAACAGTGAAATAAAGTTCAAATGGTATTTTATATTTTGAATATCAGTTCATGATTTTTTTGTCAATGTACACATAGGTAGATGATGGTAGCTAGCAGTGGAATCTAAGACGGATGTTTAGTCTTAGTCACCAGGCCTCATCAGTGCTGATGGCCTGGTGACTGATGAAATCTCAGCTCGGATACAGAAGGCTCAATTGGCTTTTGCCAACCTGCGTCACTTATGGCGCAGACGAGATATCCGTTTGCTAACCAAAGGACGAGTGAACTGTGCAGCAGTTCTCTCCGTCCTACTGTACGGATGCGAGACTTTGCCGTTAAGAGTAGATGACTTTCGTAGGTTAATAGTATTCGATCTCCGGTGTCTCCGAATCATTGCTCGTGTATCATGGGACAACCGAGTAAGCAATGCTGTTGTTAGAAAACGAGTTCTAGGTAGGGATGGCAAATCAACAGATAAAGTAGTGAAACTTCATCAGTTGAGGTGGTTGGGACATGTGTTACGTATGCCTAACGACCGACTGCCTCGATGAGCTATTTTTTGTGGTTTAGGAGTAAATTGGAAGAAAGCTAGGGGCGGCCAAACCAAAACATGGCACGAATCCATGAAGTCACTGACAAGTGGACTGAGTGATGTTGGTAGATGTAGACTACCTGGTTGGGGTCAGCAAGACAAAAGTGACCAATGGTTAGAGACCTTGAACGACATGGCTCAGAATCGTTTGCAATGGCGAGCGCAGGCGCATCCACTCTTTGTGTTCTCTCTAATTCTAACATTCTGAATTCCTCATAATCTCTACCTTTCTCCTTCTAAATTTATCTTACTGAATTATACTTTTCGAATCATATCTTCGCTCCCTAATCTTCTTCATTGCTGCTAATAATTATACTATCGCTATCAATCTTGGATTTGAACTGACAATTGCTTCTCTGTGCTTGTGTGGTATGGCAACCTGAACTGATGTACTTATGTACGAAGTTCTGCGTTGTATCTGTCTGTCTTGTTTTTGGGGCTTGTTAGCTAGATGTATTTGCGTTTCAGAATTGATTTTCACTCGCAGATTCAACAATACGCAGTAATGTTGGCTTCAAACGCCATCGCTTCACAGAGAGAGATCTTGATTTATGACATGGCTCAAAGCCCGTTTGCAGTGGTGCCTAATCATCTGAATTCCTAATCATTCTTTCTAAGTTCATTTCACTAGATCCTAATTCTCGAATAATTTACTTGAACACTAATCTCTTCGATTGCTGCTAATACTTCTTCTACCTCTACTACTACTACTATGGGATTCGAATTGAAAATTGCATCACTGTGCCAAGTGGTATGGCAACTTCAACTAATGTACGTACATATGAAGTTCTACGTTTTAACTGACTGACTGCTTCCTAAAGTGAACATCAACTCTTCGATATAAGTTCGTCCAACCGACGAGTACCAAACAGAACGAAATGTACGTCCTGGATGGCATCACTAACCTCTATCGATCTCTGCTCTATTATAACGCTTTTGACTTTTCATGGCAATATCAAGGCAATCCGCACAAGATGCACATATACCAAAATAAGACATATCAGTGGTAAGACTATGTAGATGTTCGAGTCGAAAGACTATGAACACGTCTACAAACCAGTTACATTCCGTTTTCAAATGCTATCTCGTGTCTTGTAAGATTAAAACTAAAGACAAGATAGTCTAGTTGAAATAAGTATATTTACTGTCAATTTTGTGGTATCGAAAGAATACCGAAGTTCTGTCACAGAAAAATGGGTGAAAGTTACAGAGCAGCATAAGTAAGATGGCAAACGCACAGAAGGCAAGTGTGGTACAAAAGTATGTATAAACAAAATTTTCGATAAATAATACGCTCACTTGTACAATTGTTAGTTGTAATAATGAATGCTTCTATATAACCAATCGTGTTTTTCCCTGTAAAAAGGAAATCACTACAATCATCAATCAATCAATCAACAGCAACCTAGAACTTCGTACGTGCATCAGTTCATGTTGCCATGCCACATTAGCACAGAGATGTAATTGTCAATTCAAATCCCGTAGTAGTAGTAGTAGAGGTAGTAAAGGTATCAGCAGTAATCGGAGAGATTAAGTTTCGAGAATATTATTCAAGAAGTAGAATCTAGTGAAATAAACTTGAAAAGAAAAAGATAAAGTGATGGGGAATTGAGAAGGTTAGAATTTGCGAGAACACAAACAATGGATGCATCGGGGCTATTGCAAACTTTTCTGAACCATGTCATTCAGGGTCTCTAACCATCGATTACTATCATCTCGCGGACCCCAACCAAGGTATTCGAACCCTACCGACACGACTTACTCCACTTGATGAATTTCTGCCATGTTTTGATCTGGCCGCCTCTAGTTTTCGTCCAACCTATTCCTACACTGCAAAATATTGCTCGACGAGTTAGTCGGTTGTTATGCATATGCAACACATAACCCAACCACCTCAACTGATGAAGTTTCAATACTTCATCATCACTACACTACCAATACAGATAGATGTTTAGCTGCTTTATCAATGGTTTCATAAATCGATATCCTCTTTCTATCGAATCATCTCTTTTTCTTATGCTAACCAAAATGATTATTACTTTATACTTTTAAAAGTATTGTTATGGTGTTAGATATCAAGGAAATGTTTTTAATCACATCGGATATAATATTATAATATGATATGACGCATATAGTAGGTTTAGTGAAAAGGATTTGCCAATAAACAAAACTGTCTTATGGATCCACAAATTCACTTTAAGTATGTACATGTAACAAAAATAACTTTCCTACATGAGTCAGTCAGTCAGATGCAACGTAGAACTTCGTACGTAAGTACATCAGCTCATGTTGCCATACCACATCAGCACAGAGATGCAATTGTCAATTCAAATCCAAAAGTAGAAGAGGTAGTAAAGGTATGAGAAGTAATCGGAGAGGTTAGGATTAGAAGATATTATTCAAGAATTATGATTCAATGAGAGGTGTTGAAGAATCAGGAAGATTAGGATTTGAGAGAAAACACAAAGAATGAATGCACCGGCGTCATTGCAAACGGTTTTGAGCCATGTCATTCAAGGTCTCTGACCATCGATTATTATCATCTCGCAAACCCCAACCAAGTAGTCGACAATTACCGACATGGCTAAGTCCACTCGTCAATGACTTCGTGGATTTCTGCCATGTTTTGGTTTGGCCGCCCCTTCCCTACATGATAACTGTAATCAATGCATAGAAACATTATATATAATAACATGATTTGGAACTGGTCACAATGAAGTAGATATTAGGCATTCAGCTATAACTTAGAACTTCGTACGCGTGTACATCATATTCCATAATTGCATATCATTTTAAGTACAGTAAAAATGGAATTGTCAATTTAAATCCTCCCATAATGTGATAGAGGTAGTAGAAGTAGTAACTACTGTCATGAGAGATTCAGCAGATCAGAATTTGACAGAAGACAAAGACTAGATGCAACTATCTAATTGCAAACGATTTTCGAGCAGAAGATTTATTAATAGTTTTCCCAGTATAATACATTCATGTATATATTCATTTCAAACATTGATAAAGAAGAGTCAGTCAATCAGTTACAATGTAAAGCTTCGTATCTACGTACTTACGTACATCAGTTAAAGTTACCATATCACATGAGCACCGAGATGCAATCGTCAATTCAAATCCCATAATGGTAAATATAGTAGAAGTATTAGCAGTAATGAAGAAGATTAGGGTTCGAAGATATTGTTCAAGAAGTATAATCTAGTGAAATAAACTTTAAAACGACATAAGAAATGATCCTGAGCACATGAGAACACTAAGAATAGTAGATGCAACTGCGCCACTACAAACAATTTCGAGCCATATATCATTCAACGTCTCTAACCATCGATTATTATCATCTCGCAGACCTTAACCTAGTAATCTACACTTACCAACATGACTCTCTACTTGTTGTCAATAACTTCATGGATTTATGCCATGTTTTGGTTTGTCTTCCCCCTAGCTTTCTTTCAACCTACTTCTACACCGTTAAACATAGAGCTCGTCGAGGCAGTCAGGCATTCGTAAAATATGTGCCAAACACCTTAGCTGATAAGCATTCACTACTTCATCTTATTGATTTGCCATCACCTTACCTAGTATCCAAATAAAGAAAAGTAAAATAAAACACACTTAAATCTTCTTCTCATCACATCATATATATATATATATATATATGTTGGGGATGTTAGATCCCCAAAATTCGCTTGATAAATGCCTTATTTTGGTTTTCACGTTTACCAGCATGGGCTGATCAGTTGACCTTGAGATTTCATTTTCCACCAGGAAAATCCATGGCTGTGATTGGCTGCTGTGTATTTTAGTGTGCTATTTTCCTAACTGTCTCAAGGACGTTTCTATGATGTATAAATAAACGAGAGTTGTATGCTTAATTGTACTGTGATTGCTGGGTGTTTGTAGAATATACTTTCTACGCTTACAAAGCCTTTTTACTTCAGCCTGGGGATTCAAGATAGCCTACGTGGACGCTGGTAAAAGTCTCGTTCGCGTTTATGGACTAAGGTAAACTCGTAATAGCCTCAAGCATACTAAGTGACGAGCGTAACATATATATATAATCAATTCATTTTATTTTTATAACA